AGATACCCTCCTGTAGGTTTTAACTCCAACCCTGTTCCTGGAGAGATACCCTCCTGTAGGTTTTAACTCCAACCCTGTTCCTGGAGAGATACCCTCCTGTAGGTTTTAACTCCAGCCCTGTTCCTGGAGAGCTACCCTCCTGTAGGTTTTAACTCCAACCCTGTTCCTGGAGAGATACCCTCCTGTAGGTTTTAACTCCAACCCTGTTCCTGGAGAGATACCCTCCTGTAGGTTTTAACTCCAACCCTGTTCCTGGAGAGATACCCTCCTGTAGGTTTTAACTCTAACCCTGTTCCTGGAGAGATACCCTCCTGTAGGTTTTAACTCCAACCCTGTTCCTGGAGAGATACCCTCCTGTAGGTTTTAACTCCAACCCTGTTCCTGGAGATACCCTCCTGTAGGTTTTAACTCTAACCCTGTTCCTGGAGAGATACCCTCCTGTAGGTTTTAACTCCAACCCTAATCTAGTGCACCTGGTTCTAATAATTAGCAGGTTGATAAGCTGAATCAGGTTGGTTACCACTGGGGTTGGAGTGAAAACCTACAGGAGAGTGGCTCTCCAGGAACTGGATTGGAGAGCCCTCCCACTGGGCAAACACTGGTTGAATCAACATTGTTTCCACGTCATTTCAACAAAATAATTCAATGTGATGGCGTTGAATCATTGTGGAGAACTGATTGGATTTGCAAAAAGTCATCAACGTAATGGAATTTTGTATTTTTTTCACCCAACTTTTGACCTAAATCCAATGACATGGTGACATTGTTTGTTGATTTTCACGTTGCATTCATGTTAGACGACAACTCAACTACATTTTTTATCAAAACTAGACGTTGAACTGAAGTCTGTGCCCAGTGGGCTTTATCTAGACCAAATGAGGCGCTTGATGGTAGTGAGACTAATGACTAAGGAGAGGGGATGTTGACATGCAACATGTCTAGAGGCTATCTGTCAGTCCGATATCACACACACACACACACACACACACACACACACACACACACACACACACACACACTCATCAGCGAGATTCTGCGACTCAAGAGTAACTGATTGTATCAGGATCTCCCTGTTCCACCATGGGGTGCTGTACTGTATCAGCAAACAGGGTGATAGATAGAGGTTTGCGTCACAAATGGCACCCTATTCCCTATATAGTCCACTACTTTTGACCAGGACCCCATAGAGCGCTGGTCAAAATTAGTGCACTATATAGGGAATAGGGTGCCATTTGGGACGTAGACAGGAGAGTAGAGATAATAAGTAGATACTGTATCAGCAGGAACGTGAGCGTCACTGTCAACAAACACCAGAGGGCAGCAGAGAGACAGGATCTATCACATCGATTTGATTATCTTTTTGACAAACTAATTTCCCCTTGGGGGTTAATAAAGGATCATCTCATTTCAGTCATTTCCTTGTTTGAGATATTATGTTACGTGTCATCAGGGGATGGAATTTAAGGATTTTGGGCACTGGCCAGCCGGGACCGTGATTTCTACTAGCCCGGGTAACATTCGCCCCCAAAATCTGTGCCATGCGATGTTTGAAAAGGGCTATCTTAATATCCATCCCTGCATGTAATATTAATTTCCAATATGAATACAAATAAAATAGTACATGTGGAATAAAAGACAGTTTACAGAATGCCTGAAACCAATAAAACGCAGTGTCTCAAATATAGAAATATAATCTAGTCGTTATACCTCTATGTCTCAAATATAGAAATATAATCTAGTCGTTCTACCTCTATGTCTCAAATATAGAAATATAATCTAGTTGTTATACCTCTATGTCTCAAATATAGAAATATAATCTAGTCATTCTACCTCTATGTCTCAAATATAGAAATATAATCTAGTCATTCTACCTCTATGTCTCAAATATAGAAATATAATCTAGTCATTATACCTCTATGTCTCAAATATAGAAATATAATCTAGTCATTATACCTCTGTCTCAAATATAGAAATATAATCTAGTCTTTATACCTCTATGTCTCAAATATAGAAATATAATCTAGTAATTATACCTCTGTCTCAAATATAGAAATATAATCTAGTCGTTCTACCTCTATGTCTCAAATATAGAAATATAATCTAGTCTTTATACCTCTATGTCTCAAATATAGAAATATAATCTAGTCGTTATACCTCTATGTCTCAAATATAGAAATATAATCTAGTCATTCTACCTCTATGTCTCAAATATAGAAATATAATCTAGTCATTATACCTCTATGTCTCAAATATAGAAATATAATCTAGTCGTTATACCTCTATGTCTCAAATATAGAAATATAATCTAGTCGTTATACCTCTATGTCTCAAATATAGAAATATAATCTAGTCGTTATACCTCTATGTCTCAAATATAGAAATATAATCTAGTCGTTCTACCTCTGTCTCAAATATAGAAATATAATCTAGTCGTTCTACCTCTATGTCTCAAATATAGAAATATAATCTAGTCATTCTACCTCTATGTCTCAAATATAGAAATATAATCTAGTCATTATACCTCTATGTCTCAAATATAGAAATATAATCTAGTCATTATACCTCTGTCTCAAATATAGAAATATAATCTAGTCATTCTACCTCTATGTCTCAAATATAGAAATATAATCTAGTCATTATACCTCTATGTCTCAAATATAGAAATATAATCTAGTCGTTCTACCTCTATGTCTCAAAGATGTTATATATGATTGGCTAATCAGAGACATGATTCTGAGATCACTTATCACAAATGTGATTTTAATCACTGATAAAGCTACACATTGGAGTCAATGTGATCTTAATTAGTTCACACTGATTAAATGTAAGTGATGAGATTAGTAAAACAAGCTATGGGGAGCATGAACTCAACGGGATTAGCAAACAAAGGTAATATGCACATCCCAAACGTGTTGGGCAAATAAATATACCGTAACTAAGTAATAGAAAGACTTGGAATAACCATGGTAACCAATAACCAACGCTTCTCCTCAGTCCTGCAGGACAGCCCACCATATCTCAGCACAGACACACAACATTACACTGTGTGCAACCACATTTCCATCCTCAGTTTATATTAATTATGAGAGAAATGGCGGTGGAAACGACTTTATGCGCAAATATTGATACAATAACGTTTATATCCAAGTACACTTGGAGTCACGCGATGAAATGGTGTGTGGTCCTCCCACTACGACTTGTGAAACCAAGCAGTTCATTAGGCTATACTGTAGATGAAATTAGTTATGATGAACTTCACAGGGTGGTGAAAGGGCACGGTGATGAGTTTGATGCTCCTTTTCAATAAAGATCGAGGGTCTTATTCTGGTGACATGATCCATGCTTGACAAATACAAATATTCTCGCTCTTATCCATAATAATCTCATCATGCAGTAGACTAGTCTACCCGCACTGTATCCGCAAACTATTGGCTAGAGCGCACATGCTGCCAAGACCAGAGTAGGCTAATCTATCTAACGCAACAGTTTGTGACAAAACTATCGGTAGAGTTGAAAATGTGATGGAAACACATTGAACATTAGATTTTTATTCGGTACATGAAAATGTAAGCGAAAAAAGTACATTTTGTGTGCATTACGTCGTCACGCACTGATTTTTATCCGCAACAAATCAGTTTGGTGGAAACACACCACTGGTGGGAAAATTCGCATAAAAATATTATTTTCTTTATGCGGATTTTAGAATATTCGCATGAAAATCTGTCACCAATTGGATGGAAACCTACCTATTGTTGCTATAGAAGTCATTTAACTTTGGTGAGATGGAGGCGTGAATCCAACATATCTATTTTTAATTTGAAGACAAACTGGATATTGAATTGTGCTTGGTTGTCAACACAACCAAATAACTACATTTGAATTAGACGTATTTTCTGCTTGGACTAAATCAAATCAAAACTTTAAATGCACTTTAAATAAAGTTTGATTGGATTTAGTCCCACTCTTTAACTTTGACTCTTGATTGAGATGGAGACATGAATCTAACATATAAATTATTAATTTGTAGACAAACTGGAATTAAAGATAGTCAGTGGCACAAAATATACATCTCCTCCAAATGTTGATATGTGGTTGCATTGATAACCAAACATAATTCAATATCACTTTTGCAATACAGTAAATAGCCTATAAACTTGTCAACAAGTTAACAAATTATATGTTGGATTTACGTCTCCAACGAAACCAAAAATAAAAGTTAAAGAATAGGATTAAGCAAGTGGCTCAGATTAAACCCTCCAAGCCTTAGATATCCTTGATATTTGGTTGAATTTTCAACCAAACACAATTAAATATTACACTTTTGTAATACTGTAAATAGACTTTAAGAGTTAAGGCTATCTTACAAACTAATGTAACATTATTTATTCAACCTTTAAAATGACTAACACATCTATGGCCACATATTGAGTTTAGCCTGTTGTAACTATAAATGTTTTCTTATGTAATCATAGAAAGCGTGCATGTCTGTGGAGATCTTCACAATTGCTGTAATAATCAGCACAGAATATCCAACAGCATTAATCACTTGCACCGTGTACATTTAATGTAATCTCAACTGCAATCCAGGTCATTTGGTTGTGCTATTAGATGAAGCGCAGCGATAACACATGAAGTTGTTGGATAAATACAAAATACCTGACATTGTATTCCCATTGTAATTTGGTTGTGCTTTCAGATGGTTGAAAGCATAGTGATAACACATTAGGATTTCAACAAACTTCTGGCTGTCTTTTTGAGTGGTTGAATAAAGGTTGAAATCTCATTGATCAACGTCTTAATTAAATATTACCCAATTTTCCACGTTGAAATGACGTGGTGTGCCCAGTGGGAAGGGATTCATGACCTTTGAACAGAGCGTCGATACGCCATGCCTTACTGTCTCCCTGACCTAATCAGCGGCCAAAGTCCTCTCTCTGCCTCTCACACAGACACAGTCAATACTCTCAGAGTCTGTTTAAACGTGGACATCTTCCTCTCAGACTAACCTGTGCAGTGACTTCCTGTGTCTACCTGGCCACCATGCAATCCCTATCATTCCTCCTGCTCTCTATCTGCCTCTCCTCAGGGATGTCTGCTTCCCTGGTCGTGAAGTCAACCCGTGAAGAGGGCGCCCCTCCTGCTGTTAAGACCACGTTCAGGGTTGACACCTCTGCTCCGGGTGTTGATGATACTCCTGCAGCTGAGGCTGTGGCAGAAGCCCTGGTGGCAGATACCGCTGTACCTGATGAGGTTGTATTCGAGGAGCCGGTTGAGGACATCCCAGTTGCAGACGCCCCTGTAGACGCCCCTGCCATGGCAGAAGAAAATGAGGCCCTGGTAACGGAAGCAATGATTAAAGAGTTGTCTGCCCAGTTCGAGGACGAAGACCTCGCTGAAGAGACAGAGATTCAAGACGCCATCTTGAAAGGGTTGGCTGACCAGGAGGCCATTGAGAAGGCAGTGGAGGAGCCCGTTGAAGAAGAGGCGGCAGAAGCTCCAGCGGAGGATCCAGCCAGCTCTGTGATACCTGCCTTCAAAGCCCAGGAAGAGGACTCTGGATGGGGTTTGGCTTCCATCAGGGAGAGCCTCCAGGCAGCCAACGGATACTTTGACTCCCTGGTGGAAATGATGGGGGGGCCCAACGGAGTGTGTCAATACAAGTGCAAATACGGTAAGGATGGGAGAGGGGTTGTGTGTGTGTGTGTGTGTGTGTATCAGTGTTTACATGAACATCCCAGTATGTCACCGAGCCTGGCTATATACACCTAGGACGCGATTCAATCCGTAGTGCAGAAGTTCAGACGCAATAGCACGATTCAAAATGTCAAGGTGATTTCCGATTGAGCCGACACGTGCAGTGTTTACCGTAGTTTACCGTGAATGCAGTCTCCGCAAATGCGGTAACATTGCCTTTAAACGTCAATTGCGCTATAGCGCTGAACTTTCGCGATGAATTCCAGCCCTGAATGTAACAATACCTAGATACTGACTGTTATCCTTGATCCAGTATAGAGTCAAACTGGATTTGCTAAAGAACCGATCACATTGTAGCCATTCAGGCTTTAACAAACAAAGACCACCAGTTAGGCCCCTCTCTCCCGCTCCCTCTCCCCCCCTCTCTCTCTCCCTCTCCCCCTCTCTCTCCCCCCCCTCTCCCCCCTCTCTCTCCCCCCCCCCCCCTCTCTCTCTCCCTCTCCCCCCCTCTCTCCCTCTCCCCCCCCCCCCTCTCTCTCCCCCTCTCCCCCTCTCTCTCCCTCTCCCCCCCTCTCTCTCTCTCAATTCAATTCAATGTAAGGGCTTTATTGGCATGGGAAACGTATGTTAACATTGCAAGTGAAGTAGATAGTAAACAAAAGTGAAATAAACAATAAATATTAACAGTAAACATTACACTCAGAAGTTTCAAATGTCATATTATGTATATATACAGTGTTGTAACAATGGGCAAATAGTTAAAGTACAAATGGGAAAATAAATAAACATAAATATGGGTTGTGTTTACAATGGTGTTTGTTCTTCACTGGTTGCCCTTTTCTTGTGGCAACAGGTCACAAATATTGCTGCTGTGATGGCACACTGTGGTTTTTCACCCAGTAGGTAAGGGAGTTTATCAAAATTGGGTTTGTTTTCAAATTCTTTGTGGATCTCTGTAATCTGAGGGAAATATGTGTCTCTAATATGGTCATACATTTGGCAGGAGGTTAGGAAGTGCAGCTCAGTTTCCACCTCATTTTGTGGGCAGTGTGCACATAGCCTGTCTTCTCTTGAGAGCCAGGTCTGCCTACGGCGGCCTTTCTCAATAGCAAGGCTATGCTCACTGAGTCTGTACATAGTCAAAGCTTTCCTTAAGTTTGGGTCAGTCACAGTGGTCAGGTATTCTGCCACTGTGTACTCTCTGTTTAGGGCCACATAGCATTCTAGTTTGCTCTGTTTTTTTGTTAATTCTTTCCAATGTGTCAAGTAATTCTCTTTTTGTTTTCTCATGATTTGTTTGGGTCTAATTGTGTTGTTCTCTCTCTCTCTCTCTCTCTCTCTCTCTCTCTCTCTCTCTCTCTCTCTCTCTCTCTCTCTGTTATAACCCCCCCCCCCCCCCCCCCCCTCCCCCCTCCCCCCTCCCATAATATTAAGAAATGCTATAGATGGAAGGAAAGTGTAGAAACCTACCAAAAAAGGCTGTTCTCTCTCTCTCTCTCTCTCTCTCTCTCTCTCTCTCTCTCTCTCTGTGTCTCTCTCTCTCTGTGTTGTTTACCTCTGTGTTCATCTGTTTATCGTACTTATGGTCAATAATAATTGATTGAACTGTTTGGCTGTGTACCAACATGAGGCCCATTCGTCAACAGAAGTAAATTCTTATATTATCCATCTGTGATATTGCTGAGAGAGGTATATTCTGAGGTCAGTGTTAACGTTACATTAATAATAGATCACTTCAGTGAGTCTCAGCGATCTAGATTGACCAGATGACAGAGGCATAGTTATTACAGCATGGACCTACAGGTTAAATTCCAATGTCCACACTAGCATACCACGTTGAATGTATACCCAACACATTGCGTCCATTCTAAGTATGTGCTAGTATATAATCACTACGTTCCAATATCCACACTAGCCCAATACATTTCTCCATAGCCTACAGTTAAGGCTATTAAAGCTATTAGTAGAGTAGTATCATATACTAGTATGGTCACTGGAATGGGGATAACTAATAGAACTGTGAAAGTACCACTCGGACTTCTTTGTCATTTTCTGGAGATATTTTGCTGAAGTAATTTGAAAAGGTCCTATCAATAAACGTCACGCTAGGTTGTTGAACGTTCAATTTGCGATTATTGATAACAACCTCTCTTAATTAAATATTTGGATCGTCTGCACAAGGGTCGGATTAAAAGTTGTTTATATTTCCTTATTAGGTAAAACACCAGTGCATCGCTATGGTTACGTGACCCCAGAGCCCAACGGTTGCAGCTCCAACCTCCTAGGATTCCAGGTACCTGATAGTGTATGTTTCCTATCACTAACTATAGGCTGTCTGTTATACTAACACCCAATACACACACTGTATGAATCTTATAGTGGATGTTTCCTATCAGTATGAATCTTATAGTGGATGTTTTCTCTCTCTAACTGTAGACAGTATATTTCCTATCAGTATATGATACTGTCCTAATACATCAGTATATGATACTGTCCTAATACATCAGTATATGATACTGTCCTAATACATCAGTATATGATACTGTCCTAATACATCAGTATATGATACTGTCCTAATACATCAGTATATGATACTGTCCTAATACATCAGTATATGATACTGTCCTAATACATCAGTATATGATACTGTCCTAATACATCAGTATATGATACTCCTATACATCAGTATATGATACTGTCCTAATACATCAGTATATGATACTGTCCTAATACATCAGTATATGATACTGTCCTAATACATCAGTATATGATAACTGTCCTAATACATCAATGTTACTCCTGTATTTAGTTATACAATAATACTGTATACTCTTATAGGCCGTATATACAACCCTTATGAGTGACTCTATATATAGTACTATAACTAAACTCCTATAATCATAGTGTATAACTCCTATATATGATAGTGTTAAACTCCTTATATAGTGTATAACTCCTATATAGAGTGTATAACTCCTTATATAGAGTGTATAACTCCCTATATAGAGTGTAAACTCCCTATATATAGTGTAATAATCCCTATATATAGTGTATAATCCCTATATTATCGCCTATTAAGTTATCCCTATATACTGTTACTCCCTATATATAGTGTATAACTCCCTATATATAGTGTATAACTCCTTATATATAGTGTATAACTCCTTATATATAGTGTATAACTCCTTATATAGAGTGTATAACTCCCTATATAGAGTGTATAACTCCTTATATATAGTGTATAACTCCTTATATATAGTGTATAACTCCTTATATAGAGTGTATAACTCCCTATATAGAGTGTATAACTCCTTATATATAGTGTATAACTCCTTATATATAGTGTATAACTCCTTATATATAGTGTATAACTCCCTAAATAGAGTGTATAACTCCTTATATATAGTGTATAACTCCCTATATAGAGTGTATAAATCCCTATATATAGTGTATAACTCCCTATATATAGTGTATAAATCCCTATATAGAGTGTATAATTCCCTATATATAGTATATAAATCCCTATATATAGTGTATAACTCCCTATATAGAGTGTATAACTCCTTATATATAGTGTATAACTCCTTATATAGTGTATACCTATTAGTGTATAAATCCTATATAGAGTGTATAACTCCCTATATAGAGTGTATAACTCCTTATATATAGTGTATAACTCCTTATATATAGTGTATAACTCCTTATATATAGTGTATAACTCCCTATATAGAGTGTATAACTCCTTATATATAGTGTATAACTCCCTATATATAGTGTATAACTCCTATATATAGTGTATAACTCCTTATATATAGTGTATAACTCCCTAAATAGAGTGTATAACTCCTTATATAAGTGTATAACTCCTTATAGAGTGTATAAATCCCTATATAGAGTGTATAAACTCCCTATATTAGTGTATAATCCTATATATAGTGTATAACTCCCTATATATAGTGTATAACTCCCTATATATAGGTGTATAACTCCCTATATAGAGTGTATAACCCCTAATATGAGTGTATAACTCCTTATATATAGTGTATAACTCCCTATATAGAGTGTATACTCAAAAAGTCTATAACCTTATATAGTGTATAACTCCCTATAATAGAGTGTATAAATCCTATATATAGTGTATAACTCTCCTATTATAAGTGTTATAACTCCTTATATATAGTGTATAACTCCTTATATATAGTGTATAACTCCTTATATATAGTGTATAACTCCCTAAATAGAGTGTATAACTCCTTATATATAGTGTATAACTCCCTATATAGAGTGTATAACTCCTTATATATAGTGTATAACTCCTTATATATAGTGTATAACTCCCTAAATAGAGTGTATAACTCCTTATATATAGTGTATAACTCCCTATATAGAGTGTATAAATCCCTATATATAGTGTATAACTCCCTATATATAGTGTATAAATCCCTATATATAGTGTATAACTCCCTATATATAGTGTATAACTCCCTATATATAGTGTATAACTCCCTATATAGAGTGTATAACTCCCTAAATAGAGTGTATAACTCCTTATATATAGTGTATAACTCCCTATATAGAGTGTATAAATTCCTATATATAGTGTATAACTCCCTATATATAGTGTATAAATCCCTATATATAGTGTATAACTCCCTATATAGAGTGTATAAATCCCTATATATAGTGTATAACTCCCTATATATAGTGTATAAATCCCTATATATAGTGTATAACTCCCTATATATAGTGTATAACTCCCTATATAGAGTGTATAACTCCCTATATAGAGTGTATAACTCCCTATATATAGTGTATAAATCCCTATATATAGTGTATAACTCCCTATATATAGTGTATAACTCCCTATATATAGTGTATAACTCCCTATATAGAGTGTATAACTCCCTATATATAGTGTATGAATCCCTATATAGTGTATAACTCCCTATATATAGTGTATAACTCCCTATATATAGTGTATAAATCCCTATATAGAGTGTATAACTCCCTATATATAGTGTATAACTCCCTATATATAGTGTATAAATCCCTATATAGTGTATAAATCCCTATATATCAAATAAAATAAAATGTTATTTGCCACATGTGCCGTATACAACAACAACCAACAATGCAGGTTTACCTTTGGACAAAAATAGATAAGTCAAAAATAAAAAATAAATAAAGAGCAGCAGTAAAATAAAATAACAGTAGGGAGGCTATATACAGGGGGTACCGGTACATAGTCAATGTGTGGGGGCACAGGTTAGTCGAGGTAATTGAGGTAATATGTGTATGTGGGTAGAGTTAAAGTGACTATGCATAGAAAATGTGGTCCTCTGTAGCTCAGCTGGTAGAGCACGGCGCTTGTAACGCCAAGGTAGTGTGTTCGATCCCCGGGACCACCCATACACAAAAATGTATGCACGCATGACTGTAAGTCACTTTGGATAAAAGCGTCTGCTAAATGGCATATTATATATTATATTATTTATTATAAAATAAACAGAGTAGCAGCAGTGTAAAAGAGGGGGTGGGGTGGGGAGGACAATGCAAATAGTCCGGGTAGCCATGATTAGCTGTTCAGGAGTCTTATGGGTTGGGGGTAGAAGCTGTTAAGAAGCCTTTTGGACCTAGACTTGGAGCTCCGGTACCGCTTGCTGTGCGTTAGCAGAGAGAACAGTCTATGACTAGGGTGGCTGGAGTTTTAGGGCCTTCCTTTGACACCGCCTGGTATAGAGGTCCTGGATGGCAGGGAGCTTGGCCGTACGCACTACCCTCTGTAGTGCCTTGCAGTCGGGGGCCGAGCAGTTGCCATACCAGGTGGTGATGCAACCAGTCAGGATGCTCTCGATGGTGCAGCTGTATAACTTTTTGAGGATCTGAGGACCCATGCCAAATCTTTTCAGTCTCCTGAGGGGGAATAGGCTTTGTCGTGCCCTCTTCACGACTGTCTTGGTGTGTTTGGACCATGATAGTTTGTTGGTGATGTGGACACCAAGTATGATTCAATCTTAGTCCTGTATTGACTCTTTGCCTGTTTGATGGTTCGTCAGAGGGCATAGCGGGATTTCTTATAAGCGTCCGGGTTAGAGTCCCGCTCCTTGAAAGCGGCAGCTCTACCCTTTAGCTCAATAAAATAATATAATATGCCATTTAGCAGACGCTTTTATCCAAAGCGACTTACAGTCATGTGTTCATACATTTTTACGTATGGGTGGTCCCGGGGATGGAACCCACTACCCTGGCGTTACAAGCGCCATGCTCTACCAATTGCGCTACAGAGGACCACCCATACGTAAAAATGCGGATGTTGCCTGTAATCCATGGCTTCTGGTTGGGGTATGTACGTAAGGTCACTGTGGGGACGACGTCATCGATGCACTTATTGATGAAGCCAGTGACTGATGTGGTGTAGTCCTCAATGCTATCGGAAGAATCCCGGAACATATTCCAGTCTGTGCTAGCAAAACAGTCCTGTAGCTTAGCATCTGCATCATCTGACCACTCCTTTATTAACCGAGTCACTGGTGCTTCCTGCTTTAGTTTTTGCTCATAAGCAGGAATCAGGAGGATACAATTATGGTCAGATTTGCCAAATGGAGGGTGAGGGAGAGCTTTGTAAGTGTCTCTGTGTGTGGAGTAAAGGTGGTCTAGAGTTTTTTTCCTCTGGTTGCACATTGAACATGCTGGTAGAAATGAGGTAGAATGGATTTAAGTTTCCCTGCATTAAAGTCCCCGGCCACTAGGAGCGCTGCCTCTGGATGAGCGTTTTCCTGTTCACTTATGGCCTTATACAGCTCATTCAGTGCAATCTTAGTGGCAGCATCGGTTTGTGGTGGTTAATAGATACAGTGAGGGAAAAAAGTATTTGATCCCCTGCTGATTTTGTACGTTTGCCCACTGACAAAGACATAATCAGTCTATAATTTTAATGGTAGGTTTATTTGAACAGTGAGAGACAGAATAACAACAAAAAAATCCTGAAAAACGCTTGTCAAAAATGCTATAAATTGATTTGCATTTTAATGAGGGAAATAAGTATTTGACCCCTCTACAAAACATGACTTTGTGATTGCCAACAAGGGTTTTGCCACCAAGTACTGAGGTCAGACGTTTCTTGTAGTTGGCCACCAGGTTTGCACACATCTCAGGAGGGATTTTGTCCCACTCCTCTTTGCAGATCTTCTCCAAGTCATTAAGGTTTCGAGGCTGACGTTTGGCAACTCGAACCTTCGGCTCCCTCCACAGATTTTCTATGGGATTAAGGTCTGGAGACTGGCTAGGCCACTCCAGGACCTTAATGTGCTTCTTCATGAGCCACTCCTTTGTTGCCTTGGCCATGTGTTTTGGGTCATTGTCATGCTGGAATACCCATTTACGACCCATTTTCAATGCCCTGGCTGAGGGGAGGAGGTTCTCACCCAAAATGGCCCCGTCCATTGTCCCTTTGATGCGGTGAAGTTGTCCTGTCCCCTTAGCAGAAAAACACCCCCAAAGCATAATGTTTCCACCTCCATGTTTGACGGTGGGGATGGTGTTCTTGGGGTCATAGGCAGCATTCCTCCTCCTCCAAACACGGCGAGTTGAGTTGATGCCAAAGAGCTCGATTTTGGTCTCATCTGACCACAACACTTTCACCCAGTTCTCCTCTGAATCATTCAGATGTTAATTGGCAAACTTCAGACCGGCCTGTATATGTGCTTTCTTGAGCAGGGGGACCTTGCGGGCACTGCAGGATTTCAGTAGTGTGTTACCAATTGTTTTCTTGGTGACTATGGTCCCAGCTGCCTTGAGATCATTGACAAGATCCTCCGTGTAGTTCTGGGCTGATTCCTCACCGTTCTCATGATCATTGCAACTCCACGAGGTGAGATCTTGCATGGAGCCCCAGGCCGAGGGAGATTGACAGTTCTTTTGTGTTTCTTCCATTTGCGAATAATCGCACCAACTGTTGTCACCTTCTCACCAAGCTGCTTGGCGATGGTCTTGTAGCCCATTCCAGCCTTGTGTAGGCCTACAATCTTGTCCCTGACATCCTTGGAGAGCTCTTTGGTCTTGGCCATGGTGGAGAGTTTTGAATCTGATTGATTGATTGCTTCTGTGGACAGGTGTCTTTTATACAGGTAACAAACTGAGATTAGGAGGCACTCCCTTTAAGAGTGTGCTCCTAATCTCAGCTCGTTACCTGTATAAAAGACACCTGGGAGCCAGAAATCTTTCTGATTGAGAGGGGGTCAAATACTCATTTCCCTCATTAAAATGCAAATCAATTTATAACATTTTTGACATGTGTTTTTCTGGATTTTTTTGTTGTTATTCTGTCTCTGTTCAAATAAACCTACCATTAAAATTATAGACTGATCATGTCTTTGTCAGTGGGCAAACTTACAAAATCAGCAGGGGATCAAACACTTTTTTCCCCTCACTGTAGCTACGAAAAATATAGACGTAAACTCTCTCATAAGATATTACAGTGTATAAATCCCTATATATTGTATACATCCCTATATAAATCCTATGTATTATCCCAACACAGTTTGACATTGGTATCCCAGCCATGACCCAGTGCTGTAACCAGCTGGACAGTTGTTACGACACCTGTGGCTCCAACAAGTACCGCTGTGACTCCAAGTACCGCTGGTGTCTCCACGCCATCTGCTCTGACCTGAAGAAGAGCTTGGGGTTCGTGTCAAAGGTCAAAGGTGAGTTACTGTAGCCACAGGAGTATATACTCTCCTCCACTCACTCAATCGGCCGTCCTGCCCTTGAGCAAGGCAGTTAACCCCCAACAACAATTGCTCCCCCGGACGCCGATGACGTGCACGTTGATTAAGGCTGCCCCCCGCATCTCTGATTCAGAGGGGTTTGGGTTAAATGCGGAAGACACATTTTGGTTGAATGCATTCAGTTGTACAACTGACTAGATATCTTCTTTCCCTTCTTCTCAGTCAGTCAGTCAGTCAGTCAGTCAGCCAGTCAGCCAGTCAGTCAGTCAGTCAGTCAGTCAGTCAGTAGGGTTGGGGAATAACGTTACTCCCCATGTAGTCTGTTACAGTACATGTAACTGATTAACAAAAAAAACTGTAATCTGTTGTTACCAACAAAAATATTGTAATCAGATTACAGATACTTTTGAAAAACTAAATGATTACTTCTAGGATTACTTTAAATTCAGAAAGTATGTTTGGGGAAAAAAACATGACACCTTTCGGTTTTCTTAATGAGATCCAATTCAGCATAAAAAAATTCACAAGTTGAAGTTTATTTCCGCCTGAGTACAGCCAGGTCACCTATGATACAAGTCAGTATTCGACGTCCATCCATGTCTGAGGACGTCGGGAGATGTGGAAACCGGGCCACTAGAGGCAATAGTGAGCACTGTTACCTTCAAGTAGGTTTGAGTAAGCATCTGCCTATGGTGCCAAAGTTTGCATGTTCGAATCCAGCGATAGAAAGTTGTTTTTGAGATTTTTGTTTTAAGCCTATCTTAAACCTTAACCCTAACCTTAACCCATAACCCCTAACGTAGCTAATGTTAGCCACTTAGCTAATGTTAGCAATAGCCACCTAGCTAATGTTAGCCACAACAAATTGGAACTCGTAACATATCATACGTTTGGCAAATTCATAACATAATGTACGAATTGCAATTTGTAACATATTGTACGAATTGCAATTCGTAACATATCATACGAAATGGATGATGGACATCCACAAATGAATACATACCATACAAAACGTAACATATCATACGAAATGGAGTGTCACGGATTTACCTTTACTATGATACGTCTACCACTGAGTCCAGGTTGTTTCAACTCGAAGCAATGAGCCCAATCAGTCCTCCATGATGATGAAATCATAAACAGAGCAAGCTAATAAATCCTTAGTTTTTGGTTTATGCTCAGTTAATCTATATTTCCAAGTCCTATTCTTGAAGATCAAGGGGTATAAAATATTAGAGTAGATGGGTAAAAAGCCCACATAACCCATTAAGTAAAATGAAACATCCATTTATGGCCAGCTATGTAAAATAACATTGCTTTATCCTGCAATAGATGTCGTTCAATTGGTCATATTCATTTTTTATAACTTCTAATGCCTCTTAAGGGGAAAGTAATCTAAAAGTAACTGGAAGTAATCAGATTACTTTACTGAGTTTGGGTAATCCAAAATTACAATTTTGGTCAGGCAACTAGTAGCCCTCTGTTTCTCGCTCTCTCTCATAACCCTAACCCTCTGTCTCTCTCTCATAACCCTAACCCTCTGTCTCTCTCTCATAACCCTAACCCTCTGTCTCTCTCTCATAACCCTAACCCTCTGTCTCTCTCTCATAACCCTAACCCTCTGTCTCTCTCTCCCCCGCCCAGCCTGTGAGACTGTAGCAGATGGTCTGTACAACACAGTGTGGACGCTGGGCTGCAGATCCTTCATGAACAGCCAGAGGGGAGCGTGTTACTGTGAGGGAGAGGAGAGGGACGAGCTGTAGAGGACCAGGCTGGGAGACGACACAACACTACTCAACACAAGAGAAAGCTGGGAGGAGAGCGACAAGCTGTAGAGGACATGCAAGTACACAGGACAATATCCTCTCGCAAGAATCATCAATGGAAAGGGTGCTTGGAACTCAATATGGATTCATACAGTGGGACTTCACACAGCACAAATGAGAATATGACTTTATTATGAACATAGAAAATATAACACTTTTCCTTGACAACATGAAAACAGACAAACAGAGGCTTAACGCTTGATGAGGAAAGCCCTAACAAGACTTTAACAATGAGTTAATAGTGGTTATTATGTAGAATAAAATACTAACAGTATGTAGTATCCATGTCACACTGACACTGTCTAACTTTTACCCATTTATTTTTCGGATAAATACTGATAAACGGATAAACGGATAAATACTGTCATGCTGACAGATATATTTCAAATATATTTCCAGGAAAAGACGATGACTCCATTAACATATTATTGTGTTATTATTTTATTAACATGCCTCAAACAAAAATCCTGATGGAGAGAGGACCTTTCAGTCAGTATCATATCCCACATAAGATATACTAATTTACCTGCTAATGGGGCAATTTGATGTCGTACGAAAACAAGCCCAAGTCCCAAATGGCACCCTATTCCCTATATAGTGCACTACTTTTGACCACAGCCTATGAGGCTCTGGTCGAAGGTAGTGCACTATGTAGGGAATAGTGTGTCACTTGGGACGCGCTCCAAAATAGCCTTGTCTAACACAACACAAACATTAATTGGTCCTCTGTAGCACAATTGGTAGAGCACGGCGCTTGTAACGCCCAGGGTAGTGTGTTCGATCCCCGGGACCACCCATACGTAAAAATGTATGCACGCATGACTGTAAGTCGCTTTGGATAAAAGCGTCTGCTAAATGGCATATTATTATTATAATTAGTTATACCTGTGCTGTTAATGGTGGGCTACTTCTACAGCGCAGAAATAACTGTTTTATGTTTTGATGTGTGTTGAAGTCTGATGGGGATATCAGGCTTTTTTGTTACTTTTCTATGAATAAATGAATAACTCATTATAATATTTTGATGTGATAAGTGCACTTATTAAGGTAGATACAGTAGTGGTATACTGTTGGGGTATACAGTAGTGGTATACAGTGGTGGTATACAGTAGCGGTATACTTTAGTGGTATACAGTGGTGGTATACAGGGGTGGTATACAGTGGTGGTATACAGGGGTGGTATACAGTGGTGGTATACAGTAGCGGTATACTTTAGTGGTATACTTTAGTGGTATACAGTAGTGGTATACAGTGGTGGTATACAGTGGTGGTATACAGTGGTGGTATACTTTAGTGGTATACAGTAGTGGTATACTGTAGTGGTATACTGTAGTGGTATACAGTGGTGGTATACTTTAGTGGTATACTTTAGTGGTATACTTTAGTGGTATACAGTAGTGGTATACTGTAGTGGTATACTTTAGTGGTATACAGTAGTGGTATACTGTAGTGGTATACTGTAGTGGTATACAGTAGTGCTATACAGTAATGGTATACTGTAGTGGTATACTGTAGTGGTAGTGGTATACAGTAGTGGTATACAGTGGTGATTTCTAGTCACGATACACTACAAATGTTTTCAGTTAATACTCTTCAGGGTTTTTCATTTAGCTCCATGCTCTTTATTAACCTGGGTGCCAGTCTTTCTGCTCTATTGCCAACCCTTGTCAAGACAAAAAATGCAATAAGGAGTTGACAAGAGAGCATAAACAGACCAGAAGCCAGGCTAGCGCTCCGTACATTGGTTATATACTGTAAATTAAGTAAAGATGTTTATCTATGGGATATTACACGTGTGTTCACTACACTTAGAAGCCAGTATATTGGCGTGAAATATGAAACACAAACCACATGCAGGCGTGGTCTGTGAGCAAGTCATCAGGCTTGAGAAACGCCTCTTGCAACACTCACTGACCTAGTTTAGGATCTCTCATCTTGTAGTACGACTGACAAATTGCAAACCGCAGCTCCTCAAGCCCCGAAACGATTTCTAATAGAACTGCCAATCACTTTAATGTGAGGAGATTACACTAGTGGGTAAAAGTGGCTGAGATATGGGGATGCGTTCCAAACGGAACTCTATTCCCTTATGGGCCCTGATCAAATGTAGTACACTATAGGGAATAGAACCAAACATAAACAAAACATGTGGATGTACTGTATTTACCTATATTTTAATATACAGTGGGGAGAACAAGTATTTGATACACTGCCGATTTTGCAGGTTTTCCTACTTACAAAGCATGTAGAGGTCTGTAATTTTTATCATAGGTACACTTCAACTGTGAGAGACGGAATCTAAAACAAAAATCCAGAAAATCACATTGTATGATTTTTAAGTAATTCATTTGCATTTTATTGCATGACATGAGTATTTGATACATCAGAAAAGCAGAACTTAATATTTGGTACAGAAACCTTTGTTTGCAATTACAGAGATCATACGTTTCCTGTAGGTCTTGACCAAGTTTGCACACACTGCAGCAGGGATTTTGGCCCACTCCTCCATACAGACCTTCTCCAGATCCTTCAGGTTTCGGGGCTGTCGCTGGTCAATACGGACTTTCAGCTCCCTCCAAAGATTTTCTATTGGGTTCAGGTCTGGAGACTGGCTAGGCCACTCCAGGACCTCAATACGGTGCAGTCGTCCTGTCCCCTTTGCAGAAAAGCATCCCCAAAGAATGATGTTTCCACCTCCATGCTTCACGGTTGGGATGGTGTTCTTGGGGTTGTACTCATCCTTCTTCTTCCTCCAAACACAGCGAGTGGAGTTTAGACCAAAAAGCTCTCTTTTTGTCTCATCAGACCACATGACCTTCTCCCATTCCTCCTCTGGATCATCCAGATGGTCAATGGCAAACTTCAGACGGGCCTGGACATGCGCTGGCTTGAGCAGGGGGACCTTGCGTGCGCTGCAGGATTTTAATCCATGACGGCGTAATGTGTTACTAATGGTTTTCTTTGAGACTGTGGTCCCAGCTCTCTTCAGGTCATTGACCAGGTCCTGCCGTGTAGTTCTGGGCTGATCCCTCACCTTCCTCATGATCATTGATGCCCCACGAGGTGAGATCTTGCATGGAGCCCCAGACCAAGGGTGATTGACCGTCATCTTGGACATCTCCCATTTTCTAATAATTGGGCCAACAGTTGTTGCCTTCTCAACAAGCTGCTTGCCTATTGTCCTGTAGCCCATCCCAGCCTTGTGCAGGTCTACAATTTTATCCCTGATGTCCTTACACAGCTCTCTGGTCTTGGCCTTTGTGGAGAGGTTGGAGTCTGTTTGATTGAGTGTGTGGACAGGTGTCTTTTATACAGGTAACGAGTTCAAACAGGTGCAGTTAATACAGGTAATGAGTGGAGAACAGGAGAGCTTCTTAAAGAAAAACTAACAGGTCTGTGAGAGCCGGAATTCTTACTGGTTGGTAGGTGATCAAATACTTATGTCATGCAATAAAATGCAAATGAATTACTTAAAAATCATACAATGTGATTTTCTGGATTTTTGTTTTAGATTCCGTCTCTCACAGTTGACGTGTACCTATGATCAAAATTACAGACCTCTACATGCTTTGTAAGTAGGAAAACCTGCAAAATCGGCAGTGTATCAAATACTTGTTCTCCCCACTGTATATAAACATGGATGTACTGTATTTACCAGACTAGTCTAGTCAACCACAGCAGTGTGACAGGGTGACTGACATTAGGGAGTGCATTACTGAGGATACAGTGCATTACTGAGGATACAGTGCATTACTGAGGATACAGTGCATTACTGAGGATACAGTGCATTACTGAGGATACAGTGCATTACTGAGGATACAGTGCATTACCGAGGATACAGCGCATTACTGAGGATACAGTGCATTACTGAGGGATGTGTAGCTTGGCCTACATCAATGGCTGAAAGTCTGTATTTGATTTGACTATTTGATTTGATTTAACCAGGAGAATCTCTGAAGGTTCTCTTGACCTTTTGAGTGGTGTAAATGTCAGGGGAAATTAGTGACAGAGAGAAAGACTGTGGTGGATGTCATCATGTCCTTTCAGACTTAACCACTAGGCACCTCAAACTCAACTCTGGACATAGAAGCCAGTTCCACTGTTTTCCCCCATAGTTCCCCTCTAATCAGGGACTGATTTAGACCTGGGACACCAGGTGGGTGATTCCTCTCTAATCAGGGACTGATTTAGACCTGGGACACCAGGTGGGTGATTCCTCTCTAATCAGGGACTGATTTAGACCTGGGACACCAGGTGGGTGATTCCTCTCTAATCAGGGACTGATTTAGACCTGGGACACCAGGTGGGTGATTCCCCTCTAACCAGGGACTGATTTAGACCTGGGACACCAGGTGGGTGATTCCTCTCTAATCAGGGACTGATTTAGACCTGGGACACCAGGTGGGTGATTCCTCTCTAATCAGGGACTGATTTAGACCTGGGACACCAGGTGGGTGAAATTAATGATCAGGTAGAACAGAAAACCAGCAGACTCCGGACCTGTATGGGTCCTCACACAGTGGGGAGCGGGGGGGGGGAGCGGGTGGGTGGGGACTGGTGGGGTGGAGTCGGCGTGGTGGTGGAGGGCGGGGGGGGAGGGTGGGTGGGTAGGGGGGGGGTTTGGGGGGGGGGGGGGGGGGAGGTTTAAAAAATTTCCCCCCAATTTTTTTGGGGTTTAAAAAAGGAATTTAAAAAATTTTTTTACCCTTTAAAAGGGGGGGGTTTTTTTTTTTGGGTTTAAAAAGGAATTTTTTTTAAAAAAAAGGGAAGGGGCTTTTTTGGGGGAAAAAAAAAAATTTTTTAAAAAAAAAAAAATTTTTTGTTTTTGGGGGTTTAAACCCAAAAAAAGGGGGCCTTACCCCGGGGGGAAAAAAGGGGGGGGGTTTAAAAGGGGGGGGTTTTTTTTTTTTAAAAAACCCCTTTTTTTTTTAAAA